GACCAGGCGTCGCGGTGGCCAGCCGGCGCAGCAGGGTAGGTCTCTGCGGGCGCGGGGCGCGAGCGCGCGGTGAGGCCTGGGTCCGCCCGGGGACACCCCTGCCCCGGGTTCCCGCCCCGGATTCGGCACCCGGAGGAGCGTCTGGACCTGGGCGGCGGGTCTGCAGCCCAGAAGTCGCGTGGTCGTTCCCAGCTCAGTTTCACGCGTGACTCGGGCTCTCACCGCCGGCGGGGTGCTGGGGGCGTATTGCGGAAATTGGGGTGCTGGGGTATTGCGGGAAGTGGGGTGCTGGGGTATTGCGGGAAGTGGGGTGCTGGGGTATTGCGGAAAGTGGGGTGCTAGAGTATCGGGAGTGGTGAGTAGTGGGGTGCGAAGGTGCTGGGTAGTGGGCGCTGGGCCTTGGGGAGCGTGGATAGTGGGGCGCGGGGTCTGCGCGCAGCGCGTCCGGGTGCCGCCCCGTCCCGCCCCGGCTGCGACCATCTGACTCCTCCTCCTGCCACCTCCCTGCGGTCGCATCTCCGGAACGCCCGGCCGGCCTCCCGGACACCGCGGCGCTCACGTAGTCGGCGGCCCCCTCCCCCGGGCTGGGCTCTGCTGGGGCCCTGGGGAGGGGCGTCCCCACGCGGTGGGTGCAGCGCTTGCGGAGAGGGAGGGGAGGCCGGGCGGGCGCAGGGAGAGAGCAGTGGGGAGGGACCCTGGGACCCTCCCCCCCAGCCTGGACCTCTGAACCCAGAGACCGTGCGGTGGGACCCCTGCGGCGCTAGGGGCTGGGGGCGGGGCAGGCTTCGGGGTTTCTGAGAAGGCCAGGAAGAGACTGGCGGGCTGGGTGGTCTCCGCGGTGCCGGGAACGCGGCTGGCAGGGGGACTGCAGGGACAGCAGCTGGTCGGGCTGCCAAGCCCGGGGGAGAGTTAGCGGGAGGAAGGACCACCAGCGCCCTGGCCGCAGACCGCGAGGGGCCCAGAGAGGGAGGCTGGCCCTGCAGGGCGGAGCTGAGCCTAGCGGGCTGCTGGGCTGAGAGGGCCCTACCAGCCCCTGCCTCTCCGCCTTTCCCACCCACAGTTCTCCTCCCCTCTGTCTTGCGGAGGGACCTGGAGTCAGTGGAGGCCCCGCAGCGAGTGCCGGGAGCTGAGCGCCTGGGAACAGGAGAGTGGAGCACCAGCCCCTAAGGGCCAGGACCTGGTGGGTGGGCCCTGTCTCCCTCTGCCTCCAGTTCCTGGTAGGTTGTTGATGCACCATTTTCCCCTTTCTCATCAGGAACAGAATAAGGGGGGTGTCTTGTCCCCAAGAAAAGACCTTCCATGGAAGGGGAGCTGGTGGGTGGCACTTGGGCCTGACGCGGTCTGGTCAGGGCCACCTTGTGTGTGTCACTGGGGACCATAGGCTCTTCATTGGCAGGGCATTAGGGCTGGCCCTGCTGGGCTGTGAACTGACTCCGGCACCTGGGCCTGCCAACCCCGTCAGGGCACCCATGTGGAAGAGTGCTCGGGCTGGCCACTGGGATGTGATTCGTGCTTGGGGGCCCTGACCTGCGGGCCTGATTCTGCTCTGCGGGTTCGAATGTGCCCCGTGGCCCAGGAGAGCCATCCTTCTCGGGTTGGGACCTGAGCGGCCTGGCGGGCTGTGCTGGGACTTGTCATCGTCATGCCTGTCCACGTGCTGTCCTCCTGGGGACTCGGGAAGCACCACCTTGCCATTTCGGCAAGTGGACCACGCTGGGAAGACCTGCACCCCACCAGCTGGTGCCCCTGCTCCTGGGCACAGTCGTGACTGCACGACCTGCCTGTGAGGATAGGCAGGGCGGCTGGCGTTGCCTTGCCCTGGCTGGAGGTCACGGTGCTGCTGCTCCCCCGCAGGCATGGTGACTGACACGCAGCAGCCGGGGATCCGGGTCGGGTGGGTCTTACAGCACCCCTGGGTGAGGCCCAGGCAGTAACGCTGGGCCACCCTCACCTTTTGTTCCATGGGAGAATCAGGGAAGAACAGCTGGCTCTTGAAAACACCAGTGGAACTGAGTCAGTCCTGGCTCCCACCTAACCCTCTCCTGTCTCTGGGTGTCCGGTGACACTGGCCAGAGCCTCCAAGTCCCTCACCCACAGGGGGAGTGGTGGTGGGTGTGCAGGCCCTCCCTCCCCTCCCTCTGCTTTGGCACATCCCAGGGTTTTCCTGCCCTGTGCTTATGAGAGGTGTAGGGATGTGTGAGAGTGCACGTCTGAGGTCGGCTTGCAGGCTCGCTGGCGGGGAATGGAGCACTTGGGGTTGACCTTGGGCTGACCGCAGGCAGGAGGAGGAAGCAGCGGCAGTGGACGAGGAAGTCCTTTCCTCAGTCCACACCCAGGTTTCCAGGGGCAGAGGGAGGCACTGGGTGTCAGGCTGACCTTGGGCTGTTTGTTTTTAATGCACATCTAAAAGCAAAACGACTGCTACTTGTGTTCAACTTGGAGTGGAAGGTGTGATCCACTGCATTGTCGTGTAAAGTTGTGGGACAGACAGGGAGAACAAAAATTCGAGAGCTTGCTGCTTGCCAGCCCCAGGCCCTCAGCGAAGCCTTCCTGCCTGATTTGCTTGGACCTCCCTTTCCTTACAGGTGCATGTAAGATCAGGAAACAGAAGCTGTGCCCTGGTCCTCCTGGACTGCCGCATTAGGGGCACGGCCAGGCAGTGTCCCCACAGCAACCGCGGCGCACGGCCGTGGCCACAGAGGTCCCAGTTTGTCTGATCACGTGTTTCACGTGGCCCACCCAGGGCTGCCTCATCCGTGGGAGGCGGTACCTGTTGAAAAGGGATCGAACCTGCTAGGTTTTGGTCTTGCTTTTCTCTTCTGTGACTTTGGTTCAGAATCAGAAGCTGAAGATGGCAGATGGCCTCCTGCACGAGACCAGGGGTCCAGCATTCGTCAGGGGGCCTCTCTCAGGGCAGCCATGGCAGCTGGAGCGAGCCCCGAGCCCCCACTGCCCACAGGCTGCCCCAGGAGGGGAGCCAGGTCTGGAGCTGCTGTGGGCTGTCCCGCACTTCTCACAGTGGAGACCTTCACCCTGGGATTGTCCCTACGCTCTCCAGCTCAGTCCTTGCAGCCATACTGCCATACTGCCGGGACATAACCCACAGCCATTAGCCGGTGAGAAGTGCTGAGCTCTCATGAGGCAGTGGTGTCAGATGGGTTTTTGCATATTTTTAAATATTTGATTTTTGAAGATTATTTTTTTGATTATAGACTTAATAATTATTTTAGAAATACAAGATAATACGAAGTAGATGCCAGTGGCATGGTGGTTAAGGTGGCTGGATTCCACATGACAGACTGCAGTTCGAGTCCTGGCCCCAGTGGCCTGGAAAATACAGTGAGCGCGTGTGCACCCACAGCCTTGAGAGGAGAGTGGAGAAGAAAGGTGTGCTGCCTGGCCATCCCCCCGGGGGGATTTCTCAAAAAAAAAGATTTTTCTTTCGCGCCCTCTGTCCAGTGCACATGCCTGGTAGCAAATTTAAGTAAATAAATAAAAAGAAAAACAAATTTCCTGAAATCCTGGCACTTAGATACCCTGACGATTTCAGTTCCATTCTTAGTATTTTTCTAGGCAGCTCTCTGATATTTTCCCCACAAACCTGGTCTCTGTACAGCTTTTCATTGGCTCCTGGCCTTTTGGCTAAGATCAAGTGTCACAAGTACAAGTTTATCTTCTCCATTTTTCACATGAACAATATATCACAAATTTTACCATGCCACTTACATATTTTTCCAAGTAATGGTTTTAAAGATGATATAAAGTTAAATCAATGGCTGTGGTGAGATGGCTCTCCTAGAAGCTGCTCCTGGTCCTAGGTTGTTCTCTCGCCCCCGCATTGAAGACTTGGTGCATTAGCCTCCATGCGCTTAATTATCTGCTTAGAATCATCCTCGCGTGTGACGCTGGGACAGAACAACAAGAACACCCGAAAGGGGGTGCCAGGTTACACTAACAAAAACACTTGTGTTATCTTTTAAAACTCATCACTGACTCACTAAGTAAAAACAGGCTTCTGTTGTTTCCAATCTAAATTTCTTAAATTAATCAGAAGATTGGACATTTTGCATATTTATGAATCACTTAAATTCTTCTATGAAGTTTTGATTCATGCTTGCTCATTTTTCTGTGTAGAATGTCTAATTTTGTTATTGCTTTGTAAGAACTCTTTACATACTAAGGAGTTAACTCTGCCATCACTCTTGTTAAGTTCATCTATCCTGTGAGTGGAGTGGACAGACCGCAAGATGGCACCCAAGAGGACCTTGAGGCGGCCGACCCCACTGCAGCCGCCGGGTCCCACAAGCCGTGCTGGCGCTCCCTGGCCATCTCCAGGCAGATCTCAGAACATTGTGTTTACCGCTGTGCCATGTCTGACCCTGCTGCCACGCTTTTTATAAAACAACTTCTCAGTTTTTCTTTAATTTTTCTGGTTTTACTATTTTTTTTTTTAGCCTGTAATATAGTTTTGAGTCAGCCGATGGCATGGAGGGTAAAGTGGCTGACGGCGTGGCTCCAATTCTGGGCCAGCAACTTGAAAACACACAGGGCACGTGTGTGTGTGCCCAAAATCCTGAGAAGAGAGTGGAGAAGGGACTGCGGTGTGGCCATCTCCTGGGGAGTGATTTCTCACTGTTCCTCTCTCTGGCAAGCATGCACATCCTATAGTAAAAACTAAAAGAAAAAGAAAAAAAAATATGTATAGTTTCACAGAGCGAGTTTAACCTCTTTTAGAAGGATCCTGTTTGCTTATTACAGAGGCTATTTCACTTGTAGAGAAGAATACTCTCCGTTATGGAAGGATCTGAGATAGTAGAGTGCTGGCTGTTTTTAAAAGAAAAATGGAGGGGGGGGGACAGACCGCAATTGTCCTCCCCCGATTCCCAGTGGGAATGGAGTTCGGGCAGCTCAAATATCACTCTGGGCACATAGGCATGCATGCCCAAAACCCTGAGAGGAGACTGGAGAAGGGATCGTGTTGTAGCCATCTCCCCTTGGGGGTGATTTCTCACTTTCCTGCTCTTTCTCTCTGTCTCCCTGTGGTGAGGGCATGTACCCTACAGCATAAACATGGCATGGTGGTTAAGGGGCTGACTCCTACACGGCTGTGGTGTCAGTCCTGGACCTGGCAGCTTCAAAATCACTTTGGGCACGTGTATGTGTGTGCTCAAAATTTTGAGAGGAGAATGGAGAAGGGATTGTGACGTGGCCATCCCCCAGGAGGTGATTTCTCACTTCCGCACACTCTGTCTCTCTGGAGAGTACACACCCTGTGGCAGACCCTAGAAGAAAGGCTAGTTTGTGGTGTGCTGATTAAAGCAGCTGGATCCCGCACGATGGCCGCACGGTCCCAGTACCCAAGCCGGGCTTGAACAATACTCGGGGTACGTGTGATGCCCAAAATCCCAGAGGGAGGGAGAAATGGAGGAGAAGGGATCGCAGCTGGCATGCCCATGGGGTGCTTTCTCAACTCCTGTCTCAGGTGAATACACACACACGGTCTCCGGGAAATTAAAGTTAACAACAACAACAAAAAAGTAAAACACTGAAAGAATTCTCATAGGACCCAGCCACCCCTCTTACCGGTATTTACAGTCTGTAATCAGTGTATTAAAGAGAGACGGGGGTTCAAAAGTTCGTGGAAAATGGAATTAAAATATATGTTCATTATGATGCAAAAGGGTTTTGAAATCCAGGGCCAGCATTTCCATGATGCACGTTTTCCATGAGCTGCTGGAAAGCCTGCGTGTCTGCATGGCCATGTTCTGGCAGCTCATAGTCGGCCTCGTGCCGCGGTGGAGGTCAGGGCAGGTGCACACAGGGTGCTGTTCAGCAGTGGGGGCCATGAACCCAGAGGACACTGCCTCGAGAAACAAGGCTGGCCGGGCAGATGGCACCGCTCTCTTAACGTGGCCTCAGACAGCTGAACTCATGCGGAGAGCAGAGAACGGGCCACCAAGGGCTGGGGTCGGCCACGGGGCCACAGTGTCAGGACCTAAGAGTTGAGAGAACGCGGGTTTTAAGTGTCCTCACCACAAAGAGAGCATGTGGGGTGACGCACGTGTCAATCAGCCTGACTCACCACCCGCAGCTTGCATGCCGATGGCTCTGGAAATGACTTCCGCAGTCTGAGGATGTACATCAATCATGGTGTTCCCGAAGTGCCCCCGGCAGCTGTCTGGGGGACACTCCATGGTGAGGCCTTCCCGAGCAGACAGCGAGAGCTCTGCCGACCTGGCCTCCCTGTCACTCTGAGCAGGTAGCAGCCAGCTGGCCACCTGTGACCACGCGTGGTCGGCCATTTCAGTCACCACCCCAGCTACCCTCCCTGAGCCCGCCTCCCCACCCTGTCTGTGCCAGCTGCTCGCCCTCCCTGCCGCAGCCACCGGGCACAGGCGGCAGGAGACGGCCGCGCTGCTGAGTGGGGTCTGTCTGACCTGTGCTGTTTCTCTCCCCTGCTGCCACGGCTCTAGCCGGCCCAGCCCGACGATGGCTGTGGACATCGAGTGCAGGCCCAGATGCATGGCCCCGCCCCAGCACCGAGAGAGGTTCGCCTTCAAGGCCTCGCCGAAGCCCGGCCAGCCCCTGCGGCCTTGCATCCAGCTGGGCCTCCGGGATGCAGCTGGGGGGGTGGCCCCAGCCGTCCAGGAGAAGAAGGTGAAAAAGCGTGTGTCCTTCGCAGATAGCCGGGGGCTGGCCCTGGCCGTGGTCAAGGTGTTCTCGGAGTTTGACGACCCGCTGGACCTGCCCTTCGACATCACAGACCTCCTGGACAGCATCGGGAGCTTGGCGCCCCCCGAGAGCGAGAACCTGGTCCTGGACTTCCTGCAGCCATCCGCGGACTACCTGGACTTCCGGGCCCGCCTGCAGGCTGACCACGTGTGCCTGGAGAACTGCGTGCTGAAAGACAGGGCCATCTCCGGCACCATCAAGGTGCAGAACCTGGCGTTCGAGAAGGCGGTGAAAGTAAGGATGACCTTCGACACCTGGAAGAGCTTCACAGACTTCCCGTGCCAGTACGTGAAGGACACCTATGCCGGCTCCGACCGCGACACCTTCTCCTTCGACATCCGCCTGCCGGAGAGGATGCAGTCCTACGAGCGCACGGAGTTCGCGGTGTGCTTTGAGTGTGGTGGACAGACGCACTGGGACAGCAACAGGGGCAGGAACTACAGGATTGTGCAGGCCGGGCTGCAGGCCGCCCTGGGCACCGGAGAGCCGCCTGGTGGCCTGGGCTTCGGGATGGCCTTCGACCAGTTCGGGAGCCCTCGCTGTTCCTATGGACTGTTCCCGGAGTGGCCCAGTTACTCGGGGTATGAGAACCTCGGGCCCTACTACTAGGGGCTCGGGGCCGGCGCTGATGCCGCAGACCCGCCTGGCTCCCACTTGCTGGGTGGTGGCGGGCACTGAGAGGCCAGTCAGCACGAAGCCTGACACCGCGGAGCTTTCCGGCACTCACTCGTCACCAGGAGGCTTAGCGAGGAGTGCTCTGGCTCGCTGGGCTGGCTGCACACCGCTGTGCCTTATGGGAGGGCAGGTCTCCCGGACAGTAGCCTTCAACGCATGGCCGCGGGTCTGGGGAACAGTGTACACTCTCAGAGCCCGCCGGGGCATGTGGGTGGGTTCTCACTGTCCAGGACACGTCACATGGCCCCACGGACACGGGCTGAGTTCGTCCATGTGTGGGCGTGTGTCCACCTGTGTTTGAACATCAGGAAGTGCTTGTTCCACGGATGGATCCGTTATTGAGACACCGCTGGACTGCACTGTTGTGGGTCCCTAAACCTGTGATTTCTTGGGCAGGATCGGTTTTTACTTAGGGGTGTCAGGAAGCCATGTTTACATGCATGTTTGTAGGAAGCCGAGTCCCGGTGTTTGTTCTGGGGTGTGGTGAAAGGACTGCTTCATTTCTGTCCTGCCTGGTCCTACTCAGTGAGACTCCCCATCAGGCCTCCCTGTCTTAGCGCCATGCGTACCGGCCGGCAACTCCGAGCACCTTGCTCCTGGAGTTTGGTAGTTGGTGTTTTTTCCCCTTAATTTTCGAACTTTAAAATGTTTTGCGTTGTAAATGCTCACAGTGGTGTCTGATACAGTCTGTCCCTAAACCTGCTGTTGCTAGTCCACAGCCTGCTTTGTGCTTGGGCCACTTGCAGCGTGGAGCAGTCTGGGTTATGTGACACTGTGACTTAAGGGAAGGTGACATTCTTCGGTGCTGAAATTGGGCAGAGCTGTTCTATGCAACATGTCGCCCATCAAGTAGACAGCTGGCACTTTAAATGAACAGCTTCAGATCAGAGAGACTGATAACCAGGCTGTGCCAGATGGGGGCCAAGCGCGCGTCATGCAGGCGGTGGTTTGGTGTGTGGAGCAGTGCCCTGCCCAGCGCAAGAAAGGCACTTGACACTAATGTCACCAGCCTAAGGGTCATTCTGTGCTCCTGAGAAAAAGCCCTCGAGGCCGCCAGAGGAGAATCCTGACACCGAGGAGTCTGCACTCAGGTCCCCACCAGCTCAAAGACCTCCTTCCTTCCCAGTCAAGAGCCAGCCCAGGGAGGTACAGGAGCGGAGGACGCTGGATCCGCCCGCACTCCCAGCAGCTCCAGGACCTTCTGGGTGGGCGCTCCTCATGCAGGGCTGTTGTCAGCATGTGCACTCAGCCTGGGGTCTGCAGTGGCCCTGTCCCTGCAGCTCGCGCAGGTTGGCCTCGGCAGCCCCAGGGTCCTGTCCAGGTCGCCCCTGGCCCCGCCTTCACTGTGCAGGTGTCCAGGGCAGGGAGGCAGTGCCATCCCCATCAATGCCCAAAGATGCCGAGAGCATTTGCAGACTGGTGCGGTATGTAAGCTGGACTGCGTCGAGCTTCATGGTAAATAAGCTTTCTGTGTTTCTTGGAAGGCACAGCTTGAGTGAGTTTCTTTTCCTTTTCCTCAAGAATATTCTTGTCATAGAGGAGTTTTACCTCCAAGATTTAATGTTAATGATGGTAAAAGAACTCATTTTTTTTCCTTTTAAAGAGAGTTTTCCTATAGGATGTGTGCGCTCACTGAAGAGACAGAGAGATAGAAAGCAAGAAATCACCCCCCATGGGGGTTGGACACACCACAATCCCTTCTCCATTCTCCTTGCGGGATCTTGGGCACACATGCACACACGCCCAATGTGAGAAAAAGATGTTTTAAAGATGTGAATTCTGCTAGAGTGCCCCGTGGTTTTGACCTGTGCTCATCACTTCCTTTTTGAAAATGAGCATTCCTTGTTATCTAGCAGATGCCATGTGGAATCTGTGCCCTGGAGCCAGACGTGGTTTTCCCCAAGTGCCCTTCTAGGGCTGTAGGCTGGGTCAGCTCCATGTGTTCCTCTCTGAAACTTGCTCGATGGCTCTAGGCTCTGGCTCGCTGCACTCGGTGCTGAGCTGGGAGCTGAGTTATGTGACGGGAGCCTTCTAGTCACCCGCAGACAGCGTGGCCGCTTTATCTCGTGTTCTGAAGTGTGAGACTCACTGGTCGAGAGGTAGCTTTCCTGCGACCACACAGTCCCAGCTGCAAAGCTGGGGACCATTCCTGGAGACGCTGGCCCATGAGGACTCGGGGAGCATCCTCCATGTCCATGTGAGCGCAGAGCTGAGGTCCCAGCCTTACCGAGTGCCTGAAAGTGCCTCAAGACATTTCTGCATGTTTTAATAATTATTTTTGTACACAAAGCTAATGGAGAAATGCACTTTAAAATCACAGGAGTGGATGTTTTCTGTGTGGTTTATATCTCAAAAGCAAAAATATAATAAAGGGAGAAAAACAAACAAACAAACCCAGAACACACTGTCCGGTTCTTAGAGCCAGAGTAAGGGGGTGCTCTAGGCGGGCGTGTGTGTGCAGACCTCCACCTGCGAGGTGTAGCTCTCCATCCAATGAGGGCCAGAGGACGGTTTCATGGCCTGTTGCTGCCCCAGCAGTGAAGGCCGTGCTGGGGAGACATTTCCAGGCAAGTCCGGGGAGGCCAGACCAGGCTGTTCTATGCCGTCTCCTCGGTCTGCCCGCTGACCCTACCTTGCTGGCCATGAGAGATAGAAAGCAAGAAATCACCCCCCATGGGGGTTGGACACACCACAATCCCTTCTCCATTCTCCTTGCGGGATCTTGGGCACACATGCACACACGCCCAATGTGAGAAAAAGATGTTTTAAAGATGTGAATTCTGCTAGAGTGCCCCGTGGTTTTGACCTGTGCTCATCACTTCCTTTTTGAAAATGAGCATTCCTTGTTATCTAGCAGATGCCATGTGGAATCTGTGCCCTGGAGCCAGACGTGGTTTTCCCCAAGTGCCCTTCTAGGGCTGTAGGCTGGGTCAGCTCCATGTGTTCCTCTCTGAAACTTGCTCGATGGCTCTAGGCTCTGGCTCGCTGCACTCGGTGCTGAGCTGGGAGCTGAGTTATGTGACGGGAGCCTTCTAGTCACCCGCAGACAGCGTGGCCGCTTTATCTCGTGTTCTGAAGTGTGAGACTCACTGGTCGAGAGGTAGCTTTCCTGCGACCACACAGTCCCAGCTGCAAAGCTGGGGACCATTCCTGGAGACGCTGGCCCATGAGGACTCGGGGAGCATCCTCCATGTCCATGTGAGCGCAGAGCTGAGGTCCCAGCCTTACCGAGTGCCTGAAAGTGCCTCAAGACATTTCTGCATGTTTTAATAATTATTTTTGTACACAAAGCTAATGGAGAAATGCACTTTAAAATCACAGGAGTGGATGTTTTCTGTGTGGTTTATATCTCAAAAGCAAAAATATAATAAAGGGAGAAAAACAAACAAACAAACCCAGAACACACTGTCCGGTTCTTAGAGCCAGAGTAAGGGGGTGCTCTAGGCGGGCGTGTGTGTGCAGACCTCCACCTGCGAGGTGTAGCTCTCCATCCAATGAGGGCCAGAGGACGGTTTCATGGCCTGTTGCTGCCCCAGCAGTGAAGGCCGTGCTGGGGAGACATTTCCAGGCAAGTCCGGGGAGGCCAGACCAGGCTGTTCTATGCCGTCTCCTCGGTCTGCCCGCTGACCCTACCTTGCTGGCCATGAAGTGCAGTTCTGGGCCAGGGCTCAGACGAAAGGAGAAACCAAAATGGTGGGTCGGACTCTGTAACCAGCTCCCGGAGGGACGCCGTGTCCACTGCACCGCCGACACTCGGCCTGAGCACGACCCCTCGGGACGTTCGGCTGGAGGCGGCGTGGAGCTGAGGTACAACGAGGGAGCCCCTTACCTGCCGTCTTCCTCGAGACTCTCAAATGCTGCCTGCCTTTGCCTTCTCAGAGACAGGAGGGAGGAAACCCTGGTCTGTGTGGCTGTCCACTTAAGAGGCTGCAGTTTTGGTGACCACCAGCGAGGCCTGCAGCAAACAGTGCCAAAGCAGTGACAACTTCTGGCTTGTCATCAGAGCGCCCCGCTGCAAGTCCTGGGCAGCGTCTCTGGCATACGGGCTGGAGTTGGGAGGTACTGGCTATGCCTCTGCCCCAACCTTCAGCCTCTGGGCTCCTCTCCACTGCCCACTGAGGCCTGAGTGAGTTTAGCAGCGGAGGGAGGCAGGGGCTCCGGCAGGGCTGGGCACATCTGAGAGAAGCTCCGTGCCCATCTGGTCCATGCCGTGTGGTTGCCGAGGCAGGGGCAGCGGTGACAGAGTCAGGCAGAGATGCCAGTGGGTCTGTGTGCGAGAGCCGCCCTCCTTGCTGCCGGGCCACGGGGCTCTGTGTAGCATAAATGGCAGCGCAAGGAAGCACGGCTCTGAGTGGCCAGAAAGCCAGCCCGCCAGGTCACTCCGCTGTCCTAGACTGGACTACCAGGATCCTCACAAACTACGAGAGGTGACACGCAGCGTCTACCACCGGCTGTCCACGACAGGTCAAGTCCACGTCCCGGGCTGCTGGGAGGAGGGAGGGGAACCCGACTCTCAGCCCCGCAGGCCAGCCATTCTGAGAGCTGGAAGGGGAGGCCCGGCCTTGGGCCCGGCCACCAGCCCAGAGTCTGCAGCATACCCTGTCGCTCTGCCCCATCTGCCAATCAAGATGTTTTTTCAACACGATGATTTTAAAAACAAAGCAATGGGGGTGGGAGAGGAAGGAAGAGGTGGACCTTAGAGATTGCAGAAACTCAGAAGATCTGGTTCCAGGAAGGCGTTGCTCAGACTTCTTTACATCCCTAATGAGAACTTGTGGATTGATGAGCACCTCGGAGAAAAAAACCCGCATGAGTGAGAGCTTTGCCGACAGTGGCCTGGATGTGGGCCAGGGAGCCGTGGGGGGAGAGCAGTACCTTCCGCTCACGCAGGGGGCTGAGCTCTGGGTGGCACAGGGCGAGGAGTGCTGGGCGGGGACGGGGTGAGCCTCAACCAGCAGAGGCAGGGATGGAGACGCGGTGGTGACACGGGGCCTGCAGGGGTGACACTGGCTCCTGAGGGTCTTGTGCTCTGTCCTCCCTCTTCGCTGAGCTCCCTCCGACATCTGAGGACTTTCCACTTGCTATTTGGATGGGGCCCCCCGTCCCACGATGACAGGCTCCCACAGATGGGGCTGTTCATCCCCCCAGTGCCCTGAGGTCAGACACCCGAGTCGATGGGCAGGTGTGCTGTCCACGTCTGGGAGGGAACCGGCCGAGTAGGCAGGGAGGGGTGGTCCACCGCTCACCAGGGCTGGGCCAGAGGGGGCCACTGATGACTGGCTGCTGTGGTCCAGCGTCTGACTCCGCATGGCTGACCCCTCTGGCCTCACCAACGAATCCCATGTGTGGGAGGGGCTGCCGGGAGCCAGGGCCTGCTTTGGGGAAAGCTCCGAGGAGGACCAGAGGCAGTTGGGTGCAACAGGACTATACGGAAGAGAGCAGAGCCACCCTAGCTGTGCCGCTTTTGAAGGGATGTTCCTCGCACACCCACTGAACACAAGCTACACGCGTGTATGTATGGGCACAGCGCAGGCCCCGGGACCAAGTAGGAAATGCTGGGAACAGGAAGCTCGGCTCGGCGGTGAGGGGCTGGCTCCTGCTGGCGTGCATGAGGAAGGCGATTTCACAGAATGTTTCTAATGCGCAGAGGGCTTGGGAGAGGGCAAGTTGTAGGCCAGGTCCCAGAAATGCATAGGAAGGCTGGGGGTTTTTTTGTTCGTTTTTGTTTTTAGTGAGATTTTTGCTATAAGGTGTGTGCGCTTGCCGGAGAGTGAGAACTCACCCCCACCCCTGGGGAGAAGGCCACACCACAGTCCCTTCTCCTCCATTCTCCTCTTGGGATTTAGGGCATGCACATACATGTGCCTGTATGTTTTAAGCTGCTGGGTCTGGGACTTGAACCCCAGTTGGCTACATGGGAGTCTAGCGATACAGCCACTATGCCACCCACTGGTCCCCGAGAAGAGCATGCGGTGGTGACACCACAAGTTCTCGAGAAAGCTGCAGGAGCCACACTGAGGACCTCCTCACCCAGTGTCCCATGAGGGGGTGACTCCACCTGAGGGTCCAGGCTGGGCGGGCCAAGGCTGGAATCCTAGCAGGACGCCCAGCACTGCACACTGTACCCAGGGACCAGGCTGTGGGCAGCGGCCTGGACAGGTCAAGCCGCTGGGTTGAGTGCTGGTCCCTGCGTTAAGGGGGCCCTCCTGAGCGCTGCCCCAGCAGGAAGGTGGACCAATAAGCCCCCCCGGGGGCAGAGGTCGGGCCAGAGCCTTTTCCTGCTTCTGGGTGGCAGGAAATGGGGCTCCGGGCCACGAGCTCGCTCATGTAGCCCGGATGGTCCGGAACCCTCGAGCTCAGCGGTTAACGTGAAAGGCGGTCTCGGGCTGCTGAGGCCTACACACTTGGCCCCACTCAGACACACCCACGCCGGAGCACAAGTGGGCACCGCCCAGCACTTGGGAAGGAGGCTGCCACGCGCCAGGACGACCACGTACTGGAGCACAAGTAGCCATCATAGAGGGTGTCGGGGTGATCACCAGGGAGCACTTCTCATCTGGGAAGTGCCTGAGAAGACACGAGGCCTGCAAGGAGGCGCAGAGTCTGGGAGTCGGTTCCTACACGCAAGCACATGCCCTTGAGGTTATGCTCACAGAGAGGCCTGTGGACGCAGACGGCGACTCGGAGTGGAAGTGCGTGGGGTGACCGAGACGACGACGGGGAGTGACAGAGACAGGGATGGGAGTGACAGAGACAGAGGCCCGGATTAGGCGTGTGTCCTTACACGCTGCCTTGCTCCCTGAGTGATGTTTTCCCGCCCTGTGAAGTGGGATGTTTATCCAGGGCTGTTCTCTGCGGGGCTCGGCACCCACAGGGGTCCTCATGAGGACGACCCGTCCCTTCAGTGCACAGCCCGGTGTGGACACGCTGGCCGGCAGCACACCAGGGCCCAGGTCGAGAGTTAACCCAGCATAGAATTAACATGTCTCCAGATAAAGACACAGATGGTGCCCTGACCTGGGAACCGAGGGGTCCTCAGGGACCACAGACCGCACCGCAGCCTCTCTACTCCACGCAGTGCACTCGTGGGGCCCGCGTCGAAACCGCTGTTGCTCAGCACAGCACGGACACATGGAACATCCTTGCCACCAAAGCAGGGCAACGCCACCATGTGCGCACACCCGATTACAGCCACGCCTACCCGGAGGGCTGGTGGGCTGACAGCTGGAGAAACGGCGGCTCCCGTCGTCCCGGAACCTCCAGGGAGCCCCATTTTGGCCTGCCTGTGCAGGAGCAAGCCCTGTCACCTCCTGCCAGTGGCTCCCTCACGGCTGCGGCAGGGCCCTCTTTGTCCCCCAGAGGTGAGCCTGACCACACGTCTCTGCAGCATACACACATGCACACACACACGTCTGACCGTGTCTCTGCAGCACACACACGCACAGCCTTGCACACACGCCCGAGCTCAGCATTTACGGCACTGCACCAGGGAGGTCCTGACCACAGAGCCCACGCCCTTCTGCTCCTCTTCACACCAGCACACACACGTCTACATACAGGGGTGCTTTCCAACACACCAGGATTGGCACCTGTTATGAGTCCTTTTAGGGGTGTTTAGGAGTGTCTTGTTAAGACTCATGTGTGAGCTGTGAGACACCGCTGTAAACCTGGACGTTTGCACGGGGCTCCAGGGTACACTGAATATTCGGGAACATGGGAGTCGTCTCTAAACCAGGAATGACAAAGACAAGTGCTTTCCCTTGGGATTCTTCTCAAAACTCAGAACCCTAACCTTGACCTAAGAACCAGTGTGGGATTCATTTTCCCTGGTGAATTCGTCCACAGAAAGGCCAAGCTCAAACTTCAGCTCTTGGCCTTCGACTGGAAACCGACAGGGAAGTTCTCATTTGTGCACACAACCACCAAGTAGTAGCTAGCTCCCCGAGGGCCAAGGCCTGGGTGCAGCCTGATCATGCCTGGGCCCTGAGGAGAAGCGGTTCGTGGGCTGCAGTGCCGTTTTGAACTTACATGTGCCAACAGGGAACGTGTCTGTATAAACAGAAGAACCCTGGACTGAGTTTTACCTTCTAGCACTGTCTGGCTCCATCTGGAACGTTCCACCCATCTGCTAGTTTTGTTTTTGTTTTTGCTGCAGGATGTAAGCACTCACCAGAAAGAGAGTGAGTGAGAAACTATGTACCTAGGGGGACGGAGGGGTGGCCACACTGCAATCCCTTCTACTCCACTCTCTCCTTTGGATTTTGGGCATGCACACGTGCCTGATGTGAGTTTCAAGTCCCTGGGCCCTGGGTCAAGATTCACACCGTGGTTGGCCATGTGAGAATCCTGGATCTCAACCATCATGCCACCTGCTGACCCCTCTACCCCTGTGACTGTTTTAAAGGAAAGCCCAGATGGTACATTTTTTATCAGCAAATATTTCCGTACAGCATTAATTTTTTTTTCCAAACCTTTACTTATCTATTTGTGATTTTCAAACCGTTGGGTCTGGGATTTGAACCATCATCGGCCCTGTGGGAATGCACCACCCTAACCACCACGCCACTTGCTGGCCCATACAGTATTAAATTTGAAGTAGCTAGTTAAATAGCTAACCCTGGCCTGGGCTATCTCCCCCAGTTTAGCCAAAGCCCTCTGGAAGCTGCACCTACGAGGGCCTCGAGAACCAGAACCTCCTTGGAGCTGCTCTGGGAAGGAAGGGGCGAGCTCTTCCTCAGGGGCTGCGCTGCTTGAGCATAGAGAAACACCTAGAAACCACGTGACCAAGGAGAGCGGGTGATGCAAGGTTGACCAGCAGAGCAGGAGCCCACGGAGACTGTCGGGAGGGGAGGGCAGGGCCGGGTGCGGCCACAGGTGTGCATGGTGTCTTCTCAGGCCGCCACGGCAAGGCCCTGCAGAAGGCCCCGAGGGCCACTGGACCGGCGTTGTTGGCTGCCTCTGGGCCGGCAGGTGCCCCTTTTTGCCAGCTTATTCCGGACATGTTTCAAGAGAGAGCAGCATCAGGCCTCTTACGTTGATCCATTGCTCTTGAGAACAATGCGTTTGTTTGGGTAGGCTCAGCTCAGTGCTTTCCAATAGCAAGTGGCCCAGGAGCTCCAGTGGAGCACCTGCAGGACACCCCGCTCACCCCACCCCTCCAGGCTGGGCTCGCCCCTCCCTCCAGCAGTCCCACCCTTTGTTGGAAGCCTGTGGTCCGCAGCTTTCGGTACTTTTTTTTTTTTCTAGAAACATCATTTCTTGCCCAAGACTCCACAGTAAGTCTCTTTCCCCTCCCATGAGGTTTTCTGACCCTATGAAGGGCTCCCCTCAAAGCCCTGTCTCTCTACCTTCCCCCTTAGTGCTCACACACACCTGTGGTCTGGGCCGGGCTATGCCCCTCAGAGCTGCCAGCTTAGTCTGAACACTTTTATCGGATCACGTCTCTGCTCACGCAACACTCCAAGCCCTCCTGTCCCTTGAGAACTGAGGTCTGGGTGCTTGCAACGACCCGTACTGCCTCTAGGGTGTGGACCAGGGGCCCTGCTCTCTGCGGCCTATTTCCTCAGGCAGAGCAGCCACCGTCAGGGTGCCTGGCCCTCACCCGCCCGCTGCATCCTCCACACCTGCGCTGGCTCCTCTGCACCTCACCCCACGGTGAGGGGCAGCGGTCTGCACTTCCCGCTGTGCCGTGGGCTCCTAGTGCCCTGCAGGGGTAGGTGTCACGCGTGCCCAGACCTAGCCCCAACCCTAGTGCCCTGCAGGGGTAGATGTCACGCGTGCCCTGACTTAGCCCTAATCCTCTGCAGGGGTAGGTGTCACGTGTGCCCTGACCTAGCGCTAGCCTAACACTCTTGAGGTTTTCTCCAGAGGCTTCCCTACGATCCCTGCAGCTCATCCCTGGCCCCCAGCCCCAGGGCTAGCAGCTCCTTGGGTCTTCAGGGTGTCCCTGGGCCCACCTAGTCCTGAGCAGTGACATGCAGATTGAATGCTGACCAAGGTCCACGTGTAAGGCCTATGGCTGGTGTGCCCTTGGGGCGTGACACACCCATACCTCGCACTGTGACCTGGCGCTCGGGGTGAGGCAATGCAGATGCCTCCTGCGGGTCACACACACTTCCCCGAGGTTTCTCCTGGGTCCCCACCCTGAAAGCCACCGCGTATCTTCCTCATCCCCCATAATGCGTGTGCACCACGGGGACATGGGCCTTTTCATGTGCAGACACACCATGAGGATGCGGGGCTTCCCGTGTACAGACACACACGGGGACACGGGGTGCGTGGGGCTTCCCTTGTGCAGACACATCACGGGGACATGTGGTGTGTGGGGCTTTTCCTGTGTAGACACACATGGGGACACGGGATGCGTGGTGCTTCCCATGTGCAGACACTGTCCTTGTCCACGGTGGCCGTCTGGCTGGGCTCTGCTAGTGAAGGAGAGTTCTGGCTGATGAGCTCCACGCTGACTCACTGGGAAGAATGCCATGTGCTGGCCGCTCCTCTGAGCAGGGAGTCTGCCTTATAGGGTCTTGGGCTCAGAAACAACTCAGGAAAGAGATCTGTTCCATGGGAGCCTCCGACCCAGCGGCACCAGACACGCCCAGGCTGCCTCCCTGTTGGGCTGGGCAGACTTTGCTCCTTTCTTTAGTCTTAGCTTTGTTTTGTTCTGAGAGATTTTTGCTATAGGGTGGGTGCACCTGCCGGAGAGACAGAAAGCGAGAAATCACCCCCGGGAGCGATGGCCATGCTATAATCCCTTCTCCTCCATTTTCCTCTTGGGATCTTGGGCACACATGTACATGCACCTGGCGTGAGTTTTAAGTCTCAGGGCCTGGGACTCAGACCCTAGTCAACTACATGGGAGTCCAGCGATGTAACCATTATGCCATCTGCTGGTCCCTAGTTTTAGTTTTTGATATTGGGCACAGGTGTTCACTAGAGAGAGAAAAAGAAAGTGAGGAATCAGCCCCCAGGATGGATGGCCACACTGCAGTTCCTTCTCCTCTCTGGATTTTGGGGAGGCACGGCATGTTTTTCAAGCCACCAGGTCTGGGGCTCAAACTGCGCAGTCAGCCACATGGGATCCAGCACCTTAAACACCACGCCACCTGCTGGCCCCATTCCTCTTTTCTTTTTAAACTTTATTCATTCGTTCCATAAACGACAGGAAGAGAGCGCACGAAGCACACACACCAGCAGGGTCCTGACACCCAGCACCAGCCAGCCTGGCCCTGGGACAGGCACTCAGCACCTGGCGGGCCACGGGGCTGCACAGTGCCTTCCCACGCGGGCTTGCCTGCCAGCAACGCCACGCCCACTGCAGTGCCATCCAACCCAAGCCTGTTCTCAGTTTTCTGCAGGTCCAGGTTGCCTGCACAGCAGAGCAGGGAGGGAACAGATCCCTGTAGGAGGGTCGCCTGGCAACCAAAGCCAAGGGGTTCTCAGAGCCAGGTTGAGACTTCCAATCACCCTGTGCTGACCCAGACACTTGCTTCTCTCCAGGATCACACTCCGGCCTGGTGTCAGCCACAGCTCTGACCGAGGGACACACAGCAAGGTTGCATTCTGGTGAAGAAACGATCAAATATCATGGCGGAGTGAGACCACGATTCCTATCAAGGGCTGATCCGTGAGGGCTTTGACTATAGACAGAGGGCCAGCCCTGTAGCCTGGTGGTTAATAACCTCTGGTTAAAAACCACAGACTTGTGGCTCAGTTCTTTTTTTTTTTTTTTTTTTTTTGAGAGATTTTCATTGTAGGGCGCGTGCGCTCGCCAGACAGACAGAGAGAGACATAGAGACAGAAAGCGAGAAATCACCCCCCAGGGGGGATGGTCACACCGCAATCCCTTCTCCTCCCGGGATCTTGGGCATGCACGCACACGCGCCCGGCGTGAGTTTTAAGCCACCGGGTCCGGGACACGAACCGCGGTCGACTATGTGGGAGTCCAGCGACATAGCCATTACGCTAACTGCTGGTTCCCTAGTGGCTCAGTTCTTGACCTGGCAGCTTGAAATACACACTGGGTATGTGTGCACTTGTGCCTGAGCCCAACAGGACGGAGAAGTGGAAGAGAAGGAATTGTGGGGTGATGATGTCCCCTTGGGAGGTGCTTTCTGCTTCTCCCTTTTCCTCTGTCTCTGGTGAGCACACATACCCCAGCAATTTGATAGACAGATAGGTATAGATGGATGATAGAGGAATAGACAAGTGTAGATGACAGACAGATGGACATGGACAGATAGGTGTAGATGGATGAGAGAGAAATAAACGGGTTTAAATGACAGACAGAAGGACAAATAGGTGTAGATGACGACAGAGGAACAGACGGGTGTAGGTAACAGACAGATGGACAGATGGGTGTAGACGGATGATAGAGGAATACACGGGTGCAGGTGACAGAGATGGACAGACAGATGTGGATGATGATAGAGGAATAGACGGGTATAGATGACAGACAGATGGACATGGACAGGTGGGTGTAGACGATGATAGAGGAACAGACGGGTGTAGGTGACAGACAGATGGACAGATGGGTGTAGATGGATGATAGAGGAATAGACAGGTATAGATGACAGACAGAAGGACAGATGGGTGTAGACGGATGATAGAGGAATACACGGGTGCAGGTGACAGAGATGGACAGACAGGTGTAGACGATGATAGAGGAATAGATGGGTGTAGGTGACAGACAGATGGACAGATGGGTGTAGACGGATGATAGAGGAACAGACGGGTGTAGGTGACAGACAGATGGACAGATGGGTGTAGACGGATGATAGAGGAACAGACGGGTGTAGGTGACAGACAGATGGACATGGACAGGTGGGTGTAGACGATGTAGATGATGATAGAGAAATAGATGGGTGTGGTGACAGACAGATGGACAGATGGGTGTAGACGGATGATAAAGAAATAGACAGGTGTGGGAACCAGCAGTTAGCGTAATGGCTATGTCGCTGGACTCCCATGTAGTCAACCGCAGTTCGCATCCTGGACCCAGTGGCTTAAAACTCACGCCGGGCGCATGTGCGTGCGTGCCCAAGATCCCGAGAGGAGAATGGAGGAGAAGAGATTGTGGTGTGATCATCCCCCCTGGGGGGTGATTTCTCGCTTTCTGTCTCTCTGTCTCTCTCTATTTGTCTGGCGAGCACACACGCCCTATAGCGAAAACCTCTCCAAAAAAAAAAAAAGAAATAGATGGCTGTAGGTGACAGACAGAAGGACAGATGGGGGTAGATGATGACAGAGGAATAGACGGGTGTAGGTGACAGATGGGTGTAGACGATGATAGAGGAACAGATGGGTGTAGGTGACAGACAGATGGACAGATGGTGTAGACGGATGATAGAGGAATAGACGGGTGTAGATGACAGACCGATGGACAGACGTGTAGATGGATGATAGATGACAGATGACAAGAGGAAAGGATGGAGGGAGAGAGGAGGAAGAAAAAAATTAGTGGCTGTTCCCAACAGGAGGAGATGGGGACAGGATGTGACAGCTGTCAGGCTTCTTACTGATGTGCTGAGAATGTCCTAAGACCAGTTGTGGGTGGGCGGCACACACCTGTGAATGGGCCAAACACACTGAGTGTCCGTGTCCAGGGAGTGGATTAGGACACGAGAATTATATACAAGGGGCCTGCAGATGGTCACGACATATCCATGAAGAAACTATGCAAAATAGATTTCAAAAATGTTTTGTCCCCAGATAAACTTGTATGGAATTCCATTTTCCCCATGAACTTTTTGAATCGCCTCATTTCAATAAGCTGCTCTTAAGACCCAGCTCACCAGCCAGCAGACGGAGGGCCAAGGTGGACAAGCACGGCACGGTGGCCTCGGGGTTCCCAGGATAGCCGAGGGTCCAGGTGAGAGCCACAGGGAAACATCGGCATGTGCCACTGCTTTCGGGGACGCTGCCGCCATTCCCAAGCTGGACGGCCTGCTGGATTTGCAAGGTCATCCAGCTTAGGAATGGAACCCTCGGGGGGGGGGGGGGCCCCGTTCACACCC